GAAGCCGGGAGCGTGTAGCCCTCTCTGCTGCTGTGGGGGTCTGGATCTTTAGTTGGGTCAAAACTTCGCCCAAACTTCTGGACGTAAGAATTCGTTTTAGTCTCACCACCACACCCGCGCCACGCTCACACGCGCACACTTCAACACAGCAGCCGCTACCCTCCGAGTAGACATGAGTGCGCTATCGAAGGCTTCGCCTCTGAAACGCAAGCCAGTCGAGAGTTCCAAACCCTCCTCCAAGCCCAAGACTACGCTGGAACCCGGCAACCCCCTGTGGGTGTTGTTATTGTTGTTGTTGTTGTTGTTGTTGTTGTTGTTGTTGTCTTCACATTAAAAACCGTTCCGATCTCTCTCTACCCAGTACCTTCGTATGTCCGTACTGATACAACACTCGACGCGGTCGATTCCCGTGGTCGCAGGCTAACTTACCCTAAAAAGGTACACTCAAATAAAATGGCCCCGAGGGGTCCGCAAGTCAATAGAAATCAACGACAGATATTCTGGAGTCCTCCACTCCCTCTGCGCGCTATGCGAGGTAACAACTGAGACTAGGGGTCACCATCACGGGCCGGAGAGAAAGAGGTACACCCCCTTGGTTCAATCTTGGTACTTCACAACGCAAGGAGAAACAAGGCCATCTGGTGTGCCTCGACGTGACAGACTGCCCCGACGGTCGGCTCGCGGTCCGCACGAAGCGTGTCTTCATTTTTTAAGTATTCACAACGGTTTATTTTTTTTTCTCCTTGCGCCTTTTTCCAGGTTCTTGCACGTATGATACGGTGGGCGAGATTCCTTAGCACCCTACTCAACACGAAATCCCCCACCCTGAACCCAGACATCATCGAACGAGTGACGCAGCGGCCAGCGACACGTGACACTCAACGGTTGGGAGATGTGCCAGAACTCGAGGAGGTGGCACGGGCAACGAAAGGCCTCAAGAACTGGAAGGCACCCGGCCATGACTCCCTCCCTGCCGAGTTGCTCAAGATCGATGACGACGAACCCTTCGTCCTGGGACACCTCCATACTATCCTCGTCAAGGTGTGGAACGGAGGAGATATTCCGCGAGAGCGGAAGGATGCAGCCATCAAGGTGCTGCACAAGGAGGGTGACCGGTCCAACTGTAACGACTACAGAGGGATTTCGCTACTATCTCACGTAGGCAAGGTCCCCGTCAAGATCATCACCAACCGTCTAAGCGCCGTCTGCGAAGCCAACAACATCCTCCCGGAGGACTAGTGCGGATTTCGACCCGGGCGATCCACCGTCGACATGCTGTTCGTCGTGCGCCGCCTCCAGGAGCTGGGGCGGAGAAAGAAAATACCGCTCTACATGTGCTTCGTCGACTTGAACAAGGCGTATGATTCGGTGGACCGAGAGATGCTATGGAAGGTGCTGGCCAGGGCCGGGATTCCCGCGAAGCTGATCGAAGTCATCCGCCAATTCCACGATGGAATGCGGGCCCGGGTGCGCATGGACGACGGAGGACTATCGGACTGGTTCTTCGCGACATAGGGCGTGCGACAAGGATGTGTGCTATCCCCACTGCTGTTCAACATCTTNCCGGTACCGAAAGACACGGCACCGACGTTAAAGTGGACGGAAGCCGCCAAGGTAGAGGGGGGAGTACCCTGGCATGCGGCTGTGCTGCAGGGAGCTGAGAGGTTCATGACCTCCTGGCACGAGAAGGAAGAAGAGGCCAGCCGACAACGGGCGCTCAAAGGAAACCACAAGCCACCAACCAATGGGGCGGGAGGGGGGCAGGAGACGGACGAGACGGCGAGGGAAGAAAGCAAACGAGCAGAGACGGACCGAGTGGCGCGATACGTGCCGGATTGAATTTCTTTTAGCCAATTCCCCCCCCCCCAACGCTGCACCATTGCACCAACCCCCCACTAGTGATGACGTACCATTACAATGTATCGCTGGTTGGCGGCCATGTTTGCGTGTTTGCTTTTCGTTAGTGGTCTCTCCACCCTGTGCCTTGTTCTGTCTCTTATTTCTTGTTATTTTCGGCCTGGTCCCTTTTTGTCCTCGCTCTTTTTATGTAATTTTCTTTTTCCTCCTAGTATGCTGTTTCCTTTTATTTTCTTCTCTTTTTCTGTACCAGATGGCCTTGTCTCTGCTTGCGTTGTTAAGTACCAAGATTGAACCAATGGGGTGTACCTCTTTCTCTCCGGCCCGTGTGGTGACTCCTCTGGTCTCAGTTGTTATACCGCGCATAGCGCGCAGAGGGAGTGGAGGACTCCAGAATATCTGTCGTTGATTTCTATTGACTTGCGGACCCCTCGGGGCCATCTTGTTTGAGTGTACCTTTAANTGTTAAGTACCAAGATTGAACCAATGGGGTGTACCTCTTTCTCTCCGGCCCGTGTGGTGACTCCTCTGGTCTCAGTTGTTATACCGCGCATAGCGCGCAGAGGGAGTGGAGGACTCCAGAATATCTGTCGTTGATTTCTATTGACTTGCGGACCCCTCGGGGCCATCTTGTTTGAGTGTACCTTTAAAGGGTAAGTTAGCCTGCGACCACGGGAATCGACCGCGCCGAGTGTTGTATCGATACGGACATACGAAGGTACTGGGTAGAGAGAGATCGGAACGGTTTTAAATGTGAAGACAACAACAACAACAACAACAACAACAACAACAACTGCGTCATCTTTTCCTCCTGTAGTTCTTGGCTTGCGTTGTCTTCCCATGCGCACCTATTGCCACTCATTTGTTTTTAAGTACTCAAATCTGATTTCTGTTGTTTTGAGTTTCCTGCGAAGTCTCGGCGTTCTTATCTTCTAATACATATTTTGTGTTGATCCATCTGGCCCCTCTGTCATGCGACACTCATCTTTCCCATCAATTACAACACTCCCGCCCTTGGTATCCAGCCTCACCCACCATCCACACCTTCCCTTCCACCATCACCTAGACACAGCAACCCAGAGGACGGGGGGGCCGATAGGCCTCCCACGTCCGTAGACCCTTGTATTTGTTTATTGCTGAACACCACCACACAGCACGGAAAATACCTGATGGACACTTCAAATTCACCTGGTGACTCTTGTTTACCCCTGGGGGAGCGCAGGCAGAAACTCTCCTGCGTGACTCTCTACTGGAGCGCCATTCAGACCGTGCACTCCCTCTGCTGCTGTCCGTAGCCTTCCTTCCCAATGCAGCGACCACAAAACGCGTGCATCCATCGACCGCACGGGCATGTGTGGACACGACACGAGCTTCGTGATCGTGCACGTGGGTTCCCCACACCGTTTTAACCCAGGTGCAGAGGACGCACCGGTAGGTGAAACGAATCTTTGCATACAGCAGACAGCAGGTGAAGCAGCAGACCTCTCTGCTGGCGAAGAGGGTACCGTACGCTGAAAACATGCTTTAAGGACGTCCGCGAACTAGAATAAGACCTCCCTAGTAGCCGATTAGAAATCGGCCGTAGCCGATTGGAAATTTGCTACACAATCCTAATTCGGCTAAGCCTTGGCCGAAATCGGCCGCTTTGTTTGAAAAATCGGCCGTTTTTACTTGGCCGTTTTCTGGCCGAATTTGCAGAAATCGGCTCTTTCGGCCGCGGCGGATGGAGCAAAGACCTACTCACAGCCTCTAGGTCCAGTTTTGTGACGTCAGCAGCTACCGAAAGCAGTCGACACCAAGCGATTTCACGCAAAGAATTTTCTCGGAACTGTTGTTCTTGATTCGGCGCCCCCTTTCTCCTGCCTCCGCCGTTGTGGTGTTCTGTTCGCCAACCGTACTCACACCGCCGCCCTTCCGGTCCCATCTCTTCTTGCTGTGGTGGTGAGAGCCTAGATTCGCGATTGCATGCTGATAAGTGGATCTCCTGTGTTCTGGCTCTTTGGCCTTTGGCGGCGAAGCTGCTGTCAAGGAAATACAGCAGTCGTAGTAGTGTCTCCCTGCTTGAAGTTGCGTAGATGGGACTACGAGCGGTGCCCTCTCTTCCGCGGTGTTCGTCTTCATCTTTGCACCAAGGTCAACGTCTAGACTGCTGTGGACTACTCCTCTCAAACTCTCAGATGATGCACATATCAATAGTTGTTGCTGGCTCTGATGTTCTGCGAACGGTACCAAGGCAGTTTGGTGCTCGAGTGCTTCGTTTTCCTGGCACATACCTGCACCTTGCAGCTGTTGTTTTTTCGGAAAATGTGTGAATGCGTTGCGTCATTCATCACTTGTGGCTCATATGCGGACTCTTAAGGCAAAACCACGGCACAACCAATATTCACATAGTCTAGACTACTGACAACTTGCTTGTTTACGTCTTACAGTTTCAGCTACCGTGTATTCGATGGCTGCTGGAGGCGCCGATGTGCTGTGCGCGATACTGTATCAAGCCTTGCGTTGTGTCTGTTTTATGTAGGAGATTTTTCCTACATAGCATACGGCGGTCTTGTCAAGATGCGCACAGTTGGTTGTGGGGTGTGGCTCCTCATCACCTACGGATACATGGATGCAGCCGTGTACAGCAGCATGTCTACTACTGCTGTATCCCCTGGTGTAACGCTGGACACAGCGGAGGGACGAGCTTTCACGGGCAAGGGTTGTACTGGTGTACTGCCGTTTGTTGGATGAGTTCTTGCGATCCGGCTAGGTTATTATTGGGGTATCCGTCAGAAACAGGCCGGAGAGCCGGACGGGGTGAATCAAACTTCTTCCACATTTATTTCCCCGCTAACATATCGGCAGCTGGAAAAGGTTTGTAGCAAACGGGCTTGCTACATACCTCGTGCTACGTGCCGACACCCTACACGGTCGCCCCGGTGGTCTAGTGGGTAGCCTCGTAGCCTGCTAAGGGCCAGCCAGGTCATGGGTTCGAGTCCCGACAGAGTGAGTTTGTTCTCGCATATTAAATCCTGGTCTCCGTTGGAAGCGACGCGCTGCAAAGCTCGTTGTTATCATAGTAAACTGGATCGACTGCATAAGTCGCGAGGGAAGGGATTGCTGTACCCTCTCGCGATAAAAACATCTCAGGCAGGAACCGCAGGAGGGGGTCCGACCCCCCCCTCCTATGTGGCCCCGGTTGGGTCGTCTAGCTGGTAGAAGTGGAGGATAGGGGCCAGAGGGGCAGACGACAGAATCAAATGATGGGGGGAAAAACAAAACAGAACAAAAACAACAAAAATGGGAAGGTAGTCGTCTACAACATTTAAAAATTGACAACACAGATCATATATAGTCTAAATGNCCACCTTCTGACGGTGTCTGCCTCCGCGCACAAAAAATGAGATGGGCATCGCTGCCTACGCCGACGGCCAGAGGCCCGCGCATCTACATTTTTTCGCCTGACCCCATCAGTGCCGACCCAACTACACCACCACGCGCATGCCTCGCGGCGGATATGCGCAGCAGCAAGAAGGTTTCGGGCATCCCTTGAGGGTGAGTCTAGCCCTGCTCGCCAGAAAGACCCCCCCCTTCACTACAACCCATGTCTAAGCAAAAGCTTGTCGAGGAGCGAGGGGAAGAAGGGAGAAGAGAGTGCGGCAAACGATTCCTCTCGAAATTTCCCAGGTGTCGCCTTTTCCCGATATTCCCTAAAAACGAAAGCTCATGAGATATTCGGTGATGATGATGTGCGTGCCGCTGTGAGAGAAGAACAGCTCTCTCACGTATACAGTCACCAGACATTCACCACTCAACAAAGCAGCGCGCAAGTGGCCACACGGTCACACACAAGCCCCGCACATGCCGCGACGCAAGAAACGAAGAACAAACATGGCGCAGAACGCGGATGGAACCATCGCGCCACGTGCTCCGGCAACAGCACCACGAACGAGCACAACTCGTCGGTTCTGGCCATGAGTCCGATGTTTCTCCCATAGATGTTGTCGAGGATGACAATGCCCGTAACGAATGCAATAGGATATGTGGTGTTTGATATGTATGCATATCATATGCATACGAGTATTCATAAGGTAGTTACAATTGGTGCAGAGCTTGAAAGCTCTGGGAGATTAGGAGGGTTTCGTTGTATGACTCGAAATGCGTGTAGACTATACGCCAGCGCTGGCGAGATTCTTGCACTCGCCAGTTCACCAATTTTTGGGTTGTGATGTTGTGATTGGACGTACATGTAGTAGACATGAAACCAAAGCCACAGCAGGTTTCCAGCCCTTAGGCAGCACCACGGCGCTAGGCCTCACTAGGCCTTACCCACCTCCAGCCTGATGACCTTAACCCGAACCCAACACCCCCAATAGATTGTGGTGCAGTGGGTAGGTCTGGGTCGCTGTACCGAGCTACTGGAGCGTGTTTTTTCTGTGCCAGTGCTGGCAAATTTTCGCCGCGGAGGTATGACTAGGGGGTTCCGTGCTATGTGAAAGAGGTTCCGTGCTATGTTAAGGGGGTTCCTTGGTAATATCAGGAGGTTCCGTGGATCATTTTGGCCAAAAATGTTGCATTTTCTCAACATAGAACGAATTCTGCTATCGGCGTAGCTCGACGAGACGATCACGAAAATCGTTGTTTCATGGTCCAACTGCTGTTCTTTCGTTTACAGTTAGACCCTGGGGTTACCCCCCTGCGGAGCAACAAAAAACGGCATGCTGCGAATAGCTTTTGTTATTTTTTGAAGGGGGCACACAGACAGCAGTCCTACTTACTTGAGCAAAGACAAGGAACTGGCAATCAAAAATGCGCGAAGACGGTGAAGAGATGGCTCTTCTCAATCTACAATCACTTGTAATTTTCCTATAGTTAGAGAAGTAGCGAAGCCGATTTCCGTTTGGTGGTTGAAAAATCCCGAAACGACGGAAATTTCGGCTGTTGACGCAGCTGGCGCGAATACTGAGACGAGGGTCAAAAATCGCCTTCGCTACTTCTCAAGCTCTGGTTTCTGCGCACACAGGTTAAAAAACCGATCCCCGATTGACCTAGAAGCCGACGAGTGGCATTGATTACCAGATCACCTCCTATGGCTAAGGGCGGTGGNGCTATAGCTAGAGAAGTAGCGAAGCCGATTTCCGTTTGGTGGTTGAAAAATCCCGAAACGACGGAAATTTCGGCTGTTGACGCAGCTGGCGCGAATACTGAGACGAGGGTCAAAAATCGCCTTCGCTACTTCTCAAGCTCTGGTTTCTGCGCACACAGGTTAAAAAACCGATCCCCGATTGACCTAGAAGCCGACGAGTGGCATTGATTACCAGATCNGCTACTTCTCTAGCTCTGGTTTCTGCGCACACAGCTAAAAAAACCGATCCCCGATTGACCTAGAACCCGACGAGTGGCATTGATTACCAGATCACCTCTTATGGCTAAGGGCGGTGGCAAAAACAAGGGTCGCGTCAAGTCCAAAAAAAAAACTTCAAAAACTTCACGACTTCTCTTCTCGAGAGAGAAGGATGCACGTGTGCGGACGCAGCGACGGCTGGGCGCTCACGCAAGGCTGCCGAGAAGGCCAACTACCCTACCCTGAAGCGTACGGCCGCTGTAACCCTCGAGAAACTGAAAAAAGCTCAGTTGGCGAAGCGTAGAGAGGCTCGAGTCCGCAAATCGGCGGAGCAGGCCGCAGAGGAGGAGCGACAACTGTTGTTGGCGCGAGAGCGAGTCCTGCGCGCCGATCTGAAGAAGGAGCTTGGGGAGGAGCAGCGACGTAGAATCGAGGCGGAGCAACGGGCGCAAGCAGCGATCGCACGCGAGCAGGCCTCGGAGCATCAGAGGCAGCAGCAGAGGGCTGCTGATGGAGAGGCGGTGGCGAACGTCCTGACCCAGCTGGGAAACTTGCGGTTGGAGAAAAAAATGCTACAGNAGGAGCTTGGGGAGGAGCAGCGACGTAGAATCGAGGCGGAGCAACGGGCGGAAGCAGCGATCGCACGCGAGCAGGCCTCGGAGAATCAGAGGCAGCAGCAGAGGGCTGCTGATGGAGAGGCGGTGGCGAACGTCCTGACCCAGCTGGGAAACTTGCGGTTGGAGAAAAAAATGCTACAGGATCAACAGCGCGAGATGGTTGAGATTTTTTGTCCACAAGCGGCAAGCGTGATGGCGGTGCAGCAACAGCAGTACAACGGGAATCCGCTGCTTTCCGCGAAAGACCAGCTCATCCGCACCCGGATGGAGGTAGAGCACGCGAGGAGGGAGCTGAAGGCGGCGTCGGCGTGGGGAAGGGTTGCCGAGACGAGAAATGCTAATTTGAGGAAAAAGGTGCGTGCGTATGTGATACGCACGTGTGTCTTTGCCCTCGTGTGTTGGCTTTGCTGTTGTTCCCTTCTAGTGCGACTACTTCGTATGCCTCCGAGTCCTACAGGTTGATAGAACCAACATAAGCAGGACGATACCAAGAGAGGCAGGCGAAGCTGCATGCAGCTGCTATCATCGACAGACTTGGTGTTGAGAGCGAGAAAATACAGCAGGAGCAGCAGCAGCGCGCATTTTTTTTGTTTTCCCGCTCTTACAACCCTCCTGCTGTTTGCCCGTTGCCCTTTTTCTTTTTTTCGGCAACAGAACGGGCGGGTCCGCCGTCGAAGCGGGCGGGTCCGCCGTCGAACCGGTGGGGTCCGCCATCTATGACCGGTCGGGCTGTGGGGTACTGGCTTCTTGTCCCGGACGGACCGTACGTAAAGCCTACAGGATAGTGCAAGTTGAAACACACGAAAAAAAACGTCTGCGTCCACACTGGCTAGGAAACGTATAGGTAATGAGCAGCGAGTCGACCTACCACTACTACCTCTGTAGTCGGTGTGTCTTTCATCTTTCAGGATCTTGAGGGGGCTTGCTGGTGGTGGATTGCGTCAAATAGAGGTAATTAATATTGTAACGGGAATCGCGATCTTCAGGACTGGGTCGCTCACAGCGCAGCGGGGCGATTCGACCCATTCTGAAAACATTACGTTAACTTCGCGCCCTCATAGCGCGCGCCCAGACGCACGGCGAGACTCGCGCCTTCGCACGGTGGCACCTGGTGGCCTAGCGAACAGAATGACTCATTTCGCGCGGTCCCGGTTGTGCCCGCTGAGTTGAGAATCAGTGTCGTGAAAGCGCGCTGAAACCCGCAGAACCGACGTCTTTCGTCTTCCGTTCGCAAAAAGGTGACAGTCCCGTTTTGCGGGGTTTTGGTATTAAGGTTGGTGTGTTGCCAGCAGGGAGAGAAAAAACACGAACACCCTCAATAGCCAGCACGTACTACCGTCTATTCACCTCTAGTGCGGTTTGTAGCAAGCGTAGTTTTACGTGGTAGGTCGATCACAGTTTCTGAGCAAAGCTTAACGAAGCCGCTCAAAGAAGCCGGGAGCGTGTAGCCCTCTCTGCTGCTGTGGGGGTCTGGAGCTTTAGTTGGGTCAAAACTTCGCCCAAACTTCTGGACGTAAGAATTCGTTTTAGTCTCCTCACCACACCCGCGCCACGCTCACACGCGCACACTTCAACACAGCAGCCGCTACCCTCCGAGTAGACATGAGTGCGCTATCGAAGGCTTCGCCTCTGAAACGCAAGCCAGTCGAGAGTTCCAAACCCCCCTCCAAGCCCAAGACTGCGCTGGAACCCGGCAACCCCCTGTGGGTGTGCCTCGACGTGGAAGTCCGCACGAAGCGTGTCTTCATTTTTTAAGTAGTCACAACCGTTTTTTTTTTTTTTCTTGCGCCTTTTTCCAGGTTCTTGCAGGTATTGTACTGCGTCATAGTTTGCTCCTCCTGTAGTTCTTGGCTTGCGTTGTCTTCCCATGCGCACCTATTGCTACTGCTGTACATTCGTTTGTAAGTAGTCAAATCCGATTTTTCTTTTGTTTTGAGTACTTTCTGCGAAGTCTCGGCGTTCCTATCTAACACATATTTTGTGTTCCTCCATCTGGCCCCTCTGTCATGCGACACTCATCCTTCCCATCAATTACAACACTCCCGCCCTTGGTATCCAGCCTCACCCACCATCCACACCACTTCCCTTCCACCAGCAACCCAGAGGACGGGGGGGCCGATAGGCTCCCCACGTCCGGAGATCCTTGTAATTTCACTAATTTGGTTTCGAGAGTAGAAACGCGACGGCCTCTCCCCCCGCCGCGATTTTTCCTGGAACTTCCATTGGTCATTTGCCTCAGTTTACCCTTTTTTTCTCGTCACCCCTCCTTCGCCGCTGCTGTCCCACGTCTCGCCCAAACGGGCAGCAACATTGTTGTTCCTATCGTCCCCATCCATCCTCGCTTGAGGAGGTAGGTGCGCGTTCTCTGTTTCGTGTGTAGCTTGCAGCCAACTTTGCAGTACTGACCTGCCGAGGCGCGATCGATGCCGTGCAGAATTTCGCTCGTGTGGTTCGTGGGTTGTCTGATTTTTTTCGTCTCTTCCAGGTCCTTCCCCGCCCTTCAAGCCCCCCACGACATGTATGTGGGCATACGTCATGTACAGCGAAGTTTCTTACGCTAGAGTTCAATTGGCATGCTTGGTGCGGGGCATGAAAGTGTGCTGGTATGCAATGCCTCGAATGTCTTGTACCTTGACTTGTTCGCATGCGACCGCGGGGTGCAAGTTTTAGCTTCAGGTTGGTCTTGACGGTGAACCGGGTTCTACAGCATCTATTTTTGTAGCTGTTCTCTGTTCTCGTCTGGTTTCTCAAGATGAGAGACCACCGCGAGAGAGAGAGTGGTGACAGGGAGCAAGGCCTGATGCTGCTGTTATGTGATGAAGTTACGCCATTAAATTAGACAAGTCAGCGCTGACTAGACTAATGGCTTAACATTTGGCGGCAAAGGACACACGTACGGGTTCGAAACCCGACTGGTCACTTTCCCAAGCAGCGTCTGGCGAGGGGTTCGTCCCCGGAGATCTCTACTCACTCAATCAATCAACCCAAGTTTCAGCCGGGTGCAAATGAGCTTTGAGCATATCTTTTGTAAGATAAAGTTACACAATTAGACTAGCCAGCGCTGACCTGTCTACTGGTGAAACTTTATTTAATTGGTGTTGCCGTTGGTCCAATCTCATCTCGTCTCTTCCGGCGTTATACTGAACGAACTCCAGGGTTGCCGAACAAGACCTACCTGGATTGTAGATAGGCAGAGCCCGCAGCCCGCGTTCCTCCTGGCGTGTGCTGTGCGAGATGTCACAGCCTGGAGACGAGATCTGGCGCTTTCAAGTGAGCTTTCGAGGACTCGCGTAAAAGTGCAGCCAACGACACCACCCATAGATGTCTTGCCTGCGTTCAAAAAGCATCTGGGTCGATGGGCGAAGAGGGTGATTTGTCTTTCGCACACAACTGCTGCGATGGAGGGCCATGCGCATGACGACAAATTTCTTCGTTTGCATCCTTACACGTACGATGTGGACTTGTAGCATGTGTAGATGACGTATGATATATTAATGGAGGTAACAAAGAAGTACTTACAGCAATAGTCAATAGTCGTTGTTGTTGTTGTTGCAGAAGTTGTTTCTTTCATTAGCTCCATAGACTAGCTCAGCGACCATGGGTAGGGCAACCCGGGAACGAGTTATATTTATTTCGCGCGAATGGCGAGCCGGAGGCTCCCCCATCTCTTCCCTCGGCAAGCGGCCATGGACTTCGGAAGAGACAAATCTCCTCGGTGCTTTACTTGCCACTTCTCCCGATGGCAAGTTACCCCGAGGAATCATATCTTCCTATACTTTGTATGTGCACAAATGGTTGGTTATATATTCCGACATGTGTCCTCCACATTACCCCGGAAAAAATAATAAATAAAATTATTGTGCGCACGCGTCATGCGATGCTAACACAAACCGAACCGTGCTGAGTCTAATCGGGACACAAAAATAATGCTGCGAAAAACAAGCAATATAAAACAGTCCTCCGCCAGCAGAGCGAAGGAAACTCCGGCTACATAGCCTAGAGGCTTCCCGCACCCGTCAGAATAAAAAATAGGGTTAGTTGAAAGAAGGTGCAATGATGGACGGAGAAAAATAAATCCATCGAGACACCTATGCCAATGCGCAAGACACGCCGACAGTTGCATGCGAAGGGCGAAGACGCGCAAGCCGCGGACGAGGGAAGCGAAAACAGGCTAGACACGAAAGAAAAAAAAAACATATCGAGATACGATTACGAGGAGACAACAACAATACGGCAAACGCAAGGTCCCAACAAGGCAACGCAAAAGGCAAAGGAAACTCCACGGAGCCTGTTGTCACACTTGGATACAGTCGCAACCGCGAAGAAAATAAACAAAACTATTAGTCTATACGCACGCGTCATGATACTAAAACAACCTGAAACCCGATGGGGCTAACCCCTCGGGGCACAATAATAATAAATGTGGCGAAGAGCAAGCACACAAACGACAGTCCTGCTCCAGAAGAGGGAAGAAAACTCCGCCTAAACTAGAGGCTGTTCCACACCCATCAAGAAAAAAGGTGCAAAGATGGACAGAGAAAAGAAAGTACACCGAGACACAAATGCCAAATCTGATGACAATACGCAAGAATACAGACAGCTGTAGTATGCTAAGGGCCAAGACGCGCAAGCCGCGAAAAGGGGAATCGAAAACAGGCCAGATACGAAATAAAAAAAGAGATCACATACGACGAGGAGACAACAACAACACGGCAAAGTATCAACAAGGCCCCGGCAAAGTCAAAGGCAAGACTTGGCAACAAGGACCAAAAACGAAAGATGACGATGCTGACGACGGAGGGGCGGAGAAGGACGTGGTCTTTAACGGGGGGAAAAAAAAGTGCCACTAATTACAGCCGAAGGGGCGGACAACGCCTCCCAAACGCCCCCCTACCTCCCCGCCATCAACATAGCATCATGTGACTTCCCACGGGTCATCACGACCTCTTCCACCCAACGGTCCCCTGTCCCCATCGGTAAGCGAAGTTGGTATTAACTTCTGCCGCAATGCGTCGAAGCCGTCATCACACTCCACGACTGCCTCCTCGTGCGTGGGCGCACTCATCCGCACTACAGGGTGCTCGATGTTTTTGTCGAGGTCGCCGTCCGCTCCGGCCCAGTCGCAGTCCGGCTCCAAGAGCTCGATCCCGTCGTAGGCGAGAAGCATGT